TTCCCCTTCCTTTCTCCTTCTCCTCTCTCTACATTCCACTCCTCCTTATCCTCATCCTCCTCGTCTTCCCCCCTTACCCTCTCTCCTATCCCTCTCTTCCCACCTTTCTTCTCCCTTCTGCTTCCCACTCTTCCTTTCGTTCGTGTATTTCCACTTCCATACTACTCTATTTCCTCTTCCTTTCTCTTTCTCCTCTCTCCCCTTACCACTCCTCCTTATACACCTCATCTTCCCCCTTCCCCCTCTCTCCTATCCCTCTCTTCCCACCTTTCTTCTCCCTTCTGCTTCCCACTCTTCCTCTCGTTGGTGTATTTCCGCTTCCATACTATATTTCCTCTTCCTTTCTCTTTCTCCTCTCTCCCCTTACCACTCCTCCTTATACACCTCATCTTCTCCCCTCACCCTCTCTCCTATCCCTCTCTTCCCACCTTTCTTCTCCCTTCTGCTTCCCACTCTTCCTCTCGTTGGTGTATTTCCGCTTCCATACTATATTTCCTCTTCCTTTCTCTTTCTCCTCTCTCCCCTTACCACTCCTCCTTATACACCTCATCTTCCCCTTCACCCTCTCTCCTATCCCTCTCTTCCTATCTTCTTCTCGATTTGCATCCATATTCTCAATTACATTTACAATCACAGGTTTTTCATCTAATATAACTAGGTACCTCACTTTCATTGTACAGTGTATATTCAATTGCAATTCATATTTTTTCCCCAATAAACCTAATTCCCTTACATTCTTGATTATGGACGTTTATTAAAGTGCAAACACTAATATTGGTTTTTATTGTTGTTTTAATTTTTAGCAAATGCATTTTTATTTTTCAGCCCCGCGAAGACATTAATTTGAGATGGGTGGGAATATATAAATCCATTAAATAAATGCTCGAATCGTCTACTGTTAAAAACAAAAAATTAAAATAGCTTACCTGTAGTTTCACATCATATCCATCCTGCGTATCACTACAGACTTATTACTCCACACGAAACCTCTGAAATGAGTTTCCTGTATTTTCCCACTTTGGTTTCACTTCAGACCATTTCACGGCATTTATTTTTTTAATATTTCTGATCGTTCCTTAAATGATCCTTATTTACCCTTTATCACTGAATACCAAAGCATGAAAAGAAATCTGCATTTCTCTGCTTTCTTTGACTACAGGTAGATCCCATTTTCATATGTTGGAAGAAATATCCATCTGGTTCAGTTCCAAGCTGGGAGAAAGACACTGGAAACACGGAGGCTGATTGGAAAGAGGGTTTAATGGTGAACAGAACAACCAGGGGTTGTGATTCTGGTGCAGCTGACAAAATGGAGTTGAGAGGGGTGTGTGTGTTATACCTTCTTTGGTCTTTGAGCTTCTTGTTCCTGTGCAAGAACATGTCATCTAATATTCTACTGGCTGTTCTTAGATTCCTATGGGGTCATGTAGGGGGTCATAGCTGGCTCTAGAGGCAAAAGAGGAAACGCAAATCCTAGGTCAGTGATGATGGCTAATCTTTTCCTAAAGCTGTGCCAAAACGGTGTGTGCTATCATGTGCATGCGTGCCCACCCACCTGAGCATGCACTACTGACCCCCACCTGTGCATGCACAAGCAACCCCCGTGTGTGTGTGGGGGGGATTTTCGACCTCCCCAGGCTCTGGAGGCTTTCCTGAAGCCTAGGAAGGACGAAAACGGCCTCCCCTGGTCCTTTGAGACATATTTCTCAAAATATTTAATTCCTGGGGAGGTGGGGTCTCTCTCTCTCTCTCTCCTTCTCTCTCTCTCTCTCTCTCTCTCTCCCTCCCTCTCTCTCTCTCTCTCTCTCTCTCACACACACACACCCACACCCACACCCACACCCACATGCCATTTCTCACTTAAAGAGCTTTGGGTTAGTTCTGCCATAGTCTGTCCTGATTCTATTTAAGAGGCTCTATATTTTTTGGGGGGCAACTTTTTTCTTTTTACAACACTTTAATCCCTTT